CCTGATAACTCTGACTCAAAAAGTAATTCCTAATATCCCTGTGGCTCATCTGAGTTTTCAACTTCCAGTTGTGACCCCTTGTTGCTGTATCACATCTCTGAAACATTCTGTCCCAATCCACCTTCTCAATTCCTGCCTTCATATCAATAAGTATTGCTAATAGGAGTCAGCAGGTTATTCTTCAAATCTGTTTATCTAGTTAGGCCTCATTTAGATTATGCTGCACAGTTATTTATGGTTGCCATATTACAGAACGGATATAAATGCGCTTGTAAGCATACAAAGGAGGCTGACAAAGATGACCTCATGTATCAGAACTCTTTCCTGTAAGGATAGACTGAGGGTCCTGAATCTGCCCTCTCTAGAAAGGCGTAGAATAAAAGAGGATATGATTGAGGTGCATAAATGGAAAATGGGTTGAATTCCCATAACCTCTCCTCGTAGGACAAACCCCTCAGTTCTGGGACTAGCCTTGTTGCAAACCTTTGTACTTTCTCTAATTCTTGACGTGTTTGACCAGGTGTGGGTTCCATACTAGTGCTGCATACTCCAATATGGGCCTGACGTACACGTTGTACAGTGTAGTGAATGTCCCTTTCCTTGGGTGACTTTTGCAGCCCCTGACCTGTGGTCTCCCTTGTCCTTCCCCAGGCTTCATAACTTAAGAACATAAGAATGTAGGAACTCTGCAGAAGGCCTATTGGCCCATGCGAGGGCAGGTCCTTATCAAAACGACCTCTACTGAAGCTACCAAGAAATAACTCCCGTACCCAATGACACTAATTAACCCATCCCCTCCCATATATATTTGTCCAGTTCTTTTTTAAAGCTACCCAAGGTCCTAGCCTCTATCACCCCACTGGGAAGACTTGCACTTGTCGGGGTTAAACTCCAGGAGCCATTTGTTGGACCAGGTTAGCAGCCTGTCCAGATCTCAATGTAGGCTTACCTGATCTTCGTCCGCTTGTATTCCCCTCATTAGTTTCACACTGTCTGCGAACAGGGACGCCTCTGACTCTGTCCCTTCCGTCATGTTATACACATAAAAAAAAAAAAACCGGACCTGGGAATGATCCTTGTGGAACACTACTTGACATATGCACCCACTCTAATACCTCGTCTCCTGCTGACACACGTTGCTTCCATCCTGTCAGGTATTCCCTGAGCCATCGCAGTGCTTTCCCTCCTATTCCTTCCTGCTCCTCTAGCTATTCAACCAGTCTCTTGTGTAGTACTGTGTCCAAGGACATGCAGTCTACCCATCTCTGTCTCTCTCTTCCTCCTGTCCTCTGTTACCGTGTCATAGAACCCCAGAAGGTCTGTGATGTAGGATTTCTCTTCCCTGAAGCCGTGCTAGTTGTCATGTATGAGGCCATTCCTTTCTAGGTGCTCCATCACCTTTTTCCTGCTAATCTTTTCCATAGCTTTACATACAATACATGCCAGCGACATTGGTGTGTAATTTAGTGCAGCCTGTCTGTCTCGTTTCTTAAAAATCGGGACTACATTTGTTGTCTTCCACACCTCAGGCAGTTGCCCACTTTCGATTGATTTACTGAAAATTGTTGTTAGTGGCACACACAGTGCATCAGCTCCCTCTCTCAGTACCCAAGGAGAGATATTATCTGGGTCCACTGCCTTCTAGATATCTAGTTCCACAAGCAGTGTCTTCACATTAGCCTAATTTGTGTGCAGTGTGCCAAGCTCTTGCTGGTGCACCCTTCAACCTTGATTTGCTGGACGCCTCTCTGTCTCCACTGTGAGTACCTCCCTGAATTGTGAGCTGAGCTTTTCACGGACTTCCAGGTCATTTCATGTGAGCTTTTTCCCTTCCATCCTCAGCCTTATTACCTGGTCCTTGGCTGTTTTTTTTTCCTTCTGGTGTGGTTGTATAACAACTCTGGGTCAGATCTGGCTTTTGATGTTATGTCATTCTCATACTGACGCTGGGCTTCTCTCCTTATCCAAGCATATTCATTTCTGGCTCTTCGGGCCTTGGGTCCTCTGCCTTCTATACGTTTTCCATATTCTAGCAAACTTAACTTTGGCCTCTACACACCACCTGGTAAACCACGAGCTCACTTTCGTCTTCTTGTTGTTTCTTGTGATGAATGGTTTGAAAAACCGACAAGTTGAAGATTGAGACACTTATGCAGCATATGGGAATCTTTATTCAGGAAACGTTTCGCCACACAGTGGCTTCATCAGTCCAATACAAAGAGGAAGGTGTAAGGAGAGGAGGAGAATGAGGTAATCAGTCCCTCAACCTGGAGTCGATGTGTTCAGTCCATCAATCTTGTAGAATGGACTGAACTGATGGACTGAACACATCGACTCCAGGTTGAGGGACTGATTACCTCATTCTCCTCCTCTCCTTACACCTTCCTCTTTGTATTGGACTGATGAAGCCACTGTGTGGCGAAACGTTTCCTGCTGCATAAGTGTCTCAATCTTCTTCTTGTTGTTTCTGTTGCCCCTTGGTATGAACTTCTTCTCTGCCTTCCTGCACTTTGTGGTCATGTGTTACATCAGTTCTTTTACTGTCTCTCTTTCTAGCTTGCTTACCCACTGTACCTCATGTAGATATTGCCTTATACATGTGTATTCACCTTTCAGAAAGTTTGGCTTCTTCCATACTTCTCATGCTGGTTCACACTCCATTGTTAATTCTACTATTGAAGATTGAGACACTTATGCAACATATGGGAATCTTTATTAAAGAAACGTTTCGCCACTTCATCAGTCCAATACAAATCAGAATGGTGTAAGGAGAGGAGGAGGAGGAGGAGGAGGAGGAGGAGGAGGTAATCAGTCCCTCAACCTGGAGTCGATGGTCTGAATACATCGACTGATTACCTCAAATTCCTTCTCTTTTTACACCCTTCTGATTTTTATTGGACTGATGAAGCCTCTGTGTGGCGAAACGTTCCTTCAGTAAAGATGTCCATATTTTGCATAAGTGTCTCAATCTTCAACTTGTCGGTTTTAAACCATTTATCACAACTCTACTATTACTCGAAACTCAAGACCGCATGATCACTAGCGCCTAGGGGCCTTTCGTGTGATATCACCTGTCTTATCTGTTCAAGGCGAATATTAGGTCCAGCCTTGCTGGTTCGTCATCTCCTCTCCCTCTATCTGGTTATGTGCCTAACATATTGGTACATGAAGCTTTCCAGTACTACCTCCAGCATCTTAGCTCTCCATGTCTCTGGTCCCCTATGTGACTCCAGATTCTCTCAGTCAACCTTATGGTTGAAGTCCCCTATGATGAGTAGCTGTGACCTGCTCGTGTGGATCCTTCTGACAACCGAGATGAATCGAGAACAACCGGGAACAAGTTTAGATTTACCGAGAACAGCCGGTAAATCCAAGCTTGTTCTCGGTTGTTCTCGGTTCATCTCGGTTGTTCTCGGTAATTAGTAGGACCCTGGGAGTGAGTACTGTGCCTTGTGGAACAGAGCTTTTCACAGTAGCTACCTCAGATTTTGCTCTGTTTACTACTGCTCTTTTTGTTGTTAGGAAATTATAGATTCATCTACCAACCCTTCCTGTTATTCCTTTATCACTCATTTTGTGCGCTATTACACCATGGTCACACTTGTCAAAGGCTTTTGCAAAGTGTGTATACTACGTCTGCATTCTGTTTGTCTTCTAGAGTATCAGGGACCTTGTAACAGCAGTCCAGTAGTTGGGACAAGCAGGACCGACCTGCTTTAAACCCATATTGCCCTGGGTTGTGTAACTGATGGGTATCTAGATGAGTGGTGATCTTGCTTCTTAGAATCATTTCAAAGATTTTTATGATATGGGATGTCAGCGCTATCGGTCTGTAGTTGTTTGTTGTTTCTTTATTGCCCACTTTGTGAAGTGGCGCTATGTCTGTTGTTTTAGCAGCTGTGGGATGACCCCTGTGTCCATGCTCCCTCTCCACAAGATGTTAAAACCACATGATAGGGGTTTCTTGCAGTTCTTGATGAACACAGAGTTCCTTGAGTCTGGGCCTAGGGCAGAGGGTATGGGCATGTCATTTATCGTCTTTTCGATTACTATGTAGTCATCTGCTACCTACTTTGACTAGTCTGCCCATCTCCTCAAAACTCCATTGACTTTTGATGAGTAGTGCAACTCCTCCTCCTCAGCTCCCCATCTTTCTTCGGGATCTGATAACCAGATGGGAAGATCGCGTCTGTTATCACTACCGAGCTTTATCTGAGCAAGCCTCAGTGTTTTTTTCCTGTCACTCCTCACACTTAAATATAATTCCATCTGCGTTAGTGCACCAAACCTTCAGCTTCGGTTCTAGAACTGTATTTTGGGGGTCGGAGGTGTTGATGCTGGCTGTGGGTGAGGTAGGCAGGCCTGGATATTATGGTAGTCTGCTGATGTGGCAGTTTTAATGCAGGGGAGAGGGGGGTACTGAGGGTGTGGAGTGTGGCTCGGCTCTTGTTATTGTGCTTGGTTGGTGTGGGGGTGGTAGGGGTTGTGGGGATTCTGTGGGGGGCTGGGGGCGGTTGTTTTTGTTGTTCCCTTTGAGACTGTGCTCCTCTGACTGCCAGTACCTGCCTCTGGCACATTATAGGTGTACAGGTGTATGTGCAGGTGTGTACATGAAGTCACCAATGTGTATTCACTCAGTTGCGTTTGACGTGCTCAAGTCTGAGCTTTTACTCTTTAATTAAGAGCTATTGTACCTACTCTTGAAGCTTTGTACGCAATTCTATCTGAAAATGATATTGATGAGACATATACTATAATATCTGTGTGAATTTGACCGACTTACGTAAATAAACAAATCAAACATTCTTCCGGTATTAGCTCACATCTGGTTCTTTCGTTATTGTGATAAACATTATATTGTTTCCCATGTGCACCTCAGCACACACTCACAAGTACACACATGTACACACGACGAGTGAGGTAAGAGTGGTAATGACCCTCAGTGTTGTAGAGGTCACATCAGAAGCATAAATATGGTGGAGGAGGCAGGAGAGGTATCAGTACCATCTAAGACATCAGTCAGCTTACAAGCAAGGTACACTGACAACCATGGTAAGCTGCCTCCTACTCACTTATCTTTCTTATTACTTACAAGTTAAAAACTTTACCCTCACCTTCTCATAAACTTGTAAATTCCAAACTTAATTATGCTACTTAAAGACTTTTTCACAATTGTTAAAGATATCAAGGATCCGTGATCAGCTGTGTTTTACAATGAATTTAACAAGAAAAAAAAAAAGTTACATTAATCTAAGACCATAATGTACTATTTTATTTCATCCGTTAATGTTCTTTACTTCTAAGATTATTGTGCATTTTTCAGTAATAAAATGTGTACATTTCAGTAATAAAATGTGTACATTCATTGTTTGCTTCCCAAGGATTGTTGAAACAATTAAAAAGAAAGAATCGAAATTCAGAGGAGATTAATAGAGGAAGTAAGACAAGGAAGGTTTTGTACGCATCACTAATTATAAGAGCAACACTTATTATCAATGTTTCTTGTAGGCGTCCATAAGTCATTAGTGAACCCTGGTAATAACGGGGATATGCGGTACCTTTTATCCCTTGCAAACACTTGCCATTCCCTGAGGCATCTGGCCTTCCAACTGTTTATTAGCGAACTTAGATGCAACCGCAGTGTCTGGCCACCATGTTCTATATAAGATTAAACTTATGGAAACAAAAGTTAGCAAAGTTCCCCGTTATAATTTATCACACAAACCACAGAATGGGTGGGATCTGAACTCATGGTGCGTGCCTCGTAGAACGGCCAGTGTGGTAATGTGTTCGTTAGCCTAAGCAGGGAGATGTTAATACGGCAATAAGGATAAAGTCAAATATTCCACTGCAGTAAATATTACATGGCTACGGCAGACTCAGAGATTTTCCACGAATCTCTGTGTTATAGGTAATCCCATAATTTGGGATTACCTATAACATACAAGGAAAAAACTATATGTGGGAATCATTATCATCAAAAATCTTTTTTTACTTAAATAAAAACTATACAGTTTCTTGACCATTCTGTCTCACTTTTCGCTCCTATAAACTTCAGTCAGTCTTGACAATACTTCACTCAAATCCTAAACTGAAATACGTACTTTTTTGTTCTCACTAATATTTTGAATTTTCAGTAAACTACGTGGTATCTGGAACATTCACGTGCAGTTTAGTGTTCTGATAGAGGAATATAATTACGGTAACTATAGTAAGAATTGCGAGGCTGGACGTAGGAAGCTTGTCTTTGTTAATGTAATGTGTTTTGTTTCTCGCCTGGTGGGGCGCCACAGTGGAAGGTAATATTGCTAATGATCTCCGCGAGTGTTATCGTCCAGTTGACTGAGGCGCAGAGCGGAGCAGAGAGCTTATCCTTCCACGGCTACATTCCTGGTGAAACTATTAGGTACGTCATCTCTTTCTTTCTCTAGCTTTCTCTTAAACTCCCTGAAGTTCTCTCGTTTCCGTTAATCCTGTTTTCTCTTTCCTTTTACATCATTATCTTCTATTTCCACAAATTTGCCTTAATTCCTCGGGCTGTTTATCAGCTGCAGCTTGAGTGATGTTCAGTCCCAACAAGAATTTATCCAACATCAAGGAAACCAATCTAAAGCCTTGTGGACTCTTTCAGTTCCGTATAGGCCTTTCCTGCTCCATATAGACCCTTCCAACTCAGTGCAGTCTCAACGTCCTATAAACCCAACTACCTGTAGATTCTTCAAACTCTCTGTAGACTTTTCCAACTCAAGTAAACCCATCGTCGTAAACCTAGCTTCGTAAACCCAACGTCCTGTAGGCAATGCCAACTCCCTCCTCATAGGCTCGTATAATTCCCTGCAAATCCTTTCATTTGCTTGTAGCCTCTTTCATCTCGCCTAATTTCCATTGGCTCTTCCCATCTCATTACAGATATTTTTTTTTCATGTTCCAAACTTTCCCTATGGGAAGCCAAAGGTTGGTATTAGCTGGTGTTGGTTTCCAGCAGCAGGCGCTGCAGAAGCTCCTGACAGTTTGACCTCATGATACATGATAGTAAGTGTTGGTCATCCTCCCACAGTCACAGCCCTTATTCTTCTCTCTCATTCTTTTTTTCAATAACTTGCTGTTGTAATATACGCATGCTCAAAAACATGTGAGGACATTTTTACATGCACAGCACTTAAAATTTTTTATGTTTTGGTGTAAGTTCAATTTTAAGTGAATTAAACTTTTGCTAGTTCGACGAACTAAAGTCTCACTAGCAATTTGTAGTGTCGCAAGACATAATATATGTGACTTCTTCAGGGCGAAGGCTCCCAGAGGTGACGGTCAGCCCAATGACATTTACCTCGTCTTCGAAAATCCTCCTGCACTAAAAGACGGAGAAGTGGTAATCTATCCTCGTAACACTGATGGCCTCGGCCTCGAGTACGGTCAGGACCCCGAGGAGCGAGTCTACCAAATTCACAACACAAACAAGCGGCAGTTCAACAAGCATAACAAGCACTCACATGATCAAAACAAGAGCAGTGGCAAGAAGTTCAAACGAGCTGCCACTGTCCTCGATACCGTCGTCCAGTAAGCCCTTCCCTACAACTGCTCTTCCTGGATATCCATTTTTGTAAATATCCCTTCCTTAAGCACAGTCCTACTAAACCGTTCATGTCATACTAACTAATTGCTCCTCGTGATCTGCCCTAATCATGCCCAGTATTCCCCGCATTAACATCATATTGTTTAATGTTAAAAAGCATATGCGTCCAAAGAAAGCAACTTATTCTGTAGTCTGGCGATTCTACTCTCCTAACATCCACTCCAGAATTCCATCATCCATTCCCTTCACACCCATTACCGGGAGTCCATCATCCAACCCTCTCACGCCACTCCTGGAGTCCATCATTTACCCCTCTCACACTCTTTCAAAGAGTCCATCATCCACTCCTCTCACACCCACTACCAGGATTCCATCATCCATCCCTCTCACACCCACTCCTATAGTCCATCATCCATCCTTCTCACACCCACTACCAGCAGTCCATCATCTATCCCTCTCACACTCCCTCCAGGAGTCTATCATCCATCCCTGTCACACCCATTACCAGGATTCCATCATCCATTCCTCTCACACCCATCAGCAGGAGTCCATCATCCATTTCTCTCACACCCATTACCAGGAGTCCATCATCCAACCCTTTCATGCCACTCCTGGAGCCCATCATCCATCCCTCTCACACCCACTCCAAGAGTTCATGATTCATCCTTCTGACATCCACTCCAGGAATCAATCATCCATCCATCTCACACCCACTACCAAGAATCCATTATTCATCCCTCTCACACCCACCAGTAGGAGACCATCATCCATCCCTCTCACGCATACTACCAGGAGTCCATCATTCATCCCTCTCACACCCACTACCAGGAGCCCATCATCCATCCCTATCACACCCACTGCCAGGAGTCCATCATTCATCCCTCTCACACCCACTACCAGAAGTCCATCATTCATCCCTCTCACACCCACTACCAGGAGTCCATCATTCATCCCTCTCACACCCACTACCAATAGTCCATCATCCATCCCTCTCACGCCCGCTTCCAGGAGTCTATCATCCAACCCTCTCACACCCACTGCCAGGAGTCCATAATCCATCCCTCTCACACCCACTACCAGGAGTCCATCATTCATTCCTCTCACACCCACTACCAATAGTCCATCATCCATCCCTTTCATGCCCACTGCCAGGAGTCCATCATCCATTCCTCTCACACCCACTACCAGGAGTCCATCAACCATCCTTCCCACACCCACTGCCAGGAGTCCATCATCCATCCCTCTCACACCCACTGCCAGGAGTCCATCATCTATCCCTCTCACACCCACTACCAGGAGTCCATCATCCATCCCTCTCACACCCACTACCAGGAGTCCATCATCCATCCCTCTCACACCCACTACCAGGAGACCATTGTCCAGCCCTCTCACACCCACTTCCAGGAGTCCACCATTCATCCCTCTCACACCCACTACCAGGAGTCCATCATTCATCCCTCTCACACCCACTTCCAGGAGTCCATCATTCATCCCTCTCACTCCCACTACCAGGAGTCCATTATTCATCCCTCTCACGCTTACTACCAGGAGTCCATCATTCATCCCTCTCACGCCCACTACCAGGAGTCCATTATTCATCCCTCTCACGCCCACTACCAGGAGTCCATTATTCATCCCTCTCACGCCCACTACCAGGAGTCCATCATTCATCCCTCTCACGCCCACTACCAGAAGTCCATCATTCATCCCTCTCACGCCCACTGTCAGGAGTCCATCATCTAACCATCTCACATTCACTCCATGAGTCCATCACGCAGTCCTCTTTCACTCATTATTTTGAGGGTCTCCATTACGATAAGAATATCCTTGACACCCATTCATCTGAATACAACGGTTCCCATTCTTCTTCCTCTCGTCCAGCACCCTTGTGTGTGCTGTTCATGCCAAGTGAGATCCATCGCCTTGTAGCCCATCCTACCTTTCTGACATCCTCCTTGTAATTTCTACATCCTTTTCTTCACTCCCACTACCTGGTTAGATCAACAGGGAGAAGGTCTACCAATATATCACTACATCATGTGATATTAACTTATTTAGTAATTTATAAGAATAAATATATAAAATATATCCTATCATGCGCTGTCGTGTGCAACCGTTGATATTTATAAATCAAAATGCAATGTTTGTGTTGTATTGTATACAACGGAACAACCCATGAAAAAAGTTTTTTGTACTGAGATCCATGACTAAGTTGAGCAAAATGAATGAATTTATGGGTGTCATTATATGTAGTTATACATGGTGCAATGTTAAAAATGTAAAATATTCATGCATTCAAAACGTCTTTCGTATCTATTTCCTCACTTCTGCAACATTTTAGAAAAGTTTTTTGAAGCTTATCGACAACCATTCAGTTTTGCGAGCTGATGTTTATAGCCAAAAAAAAAAAAATGCTTTATAACATTTTTCCTAACACTCCAGTGTTGAGGATTTCTGACATTGTTTACCTACCGTCCAAGTGCTGCGAGTTTACATCCTGATAACTTCCCTCATAACTATGAACTTACTACCCAACACAACAGTTTCAGTGTCACAAGCTTATATCACAGCAGAGATGAAATACCATGTCAGGACCTTTTTTTTTTAACCGATGAGGAACATATTACCCTTGAGTGAATATATTAACTGTTGTACTGATTATGTGAATATTGAAAATCTCGACGCTCTATCGCAGGAGTTCTGGATGTGCAACTTAAGTGTTTCTCAAGAGGTACGGTAAACTTCTATGTCATGGAATTACTATGGCGAATTAGTAAATTTGGGATCGTTAAGCGGGGGTCAATCCTACTAATCAGGTTGAGTTTAGTGGTACTCAGCTCTTCAGCCATTTGGACTGGAATGATATAACCTCATTTCCCCTCACATTCTCACCTGAAAGGGTAGTCGTGGGTAGGTGAAGGCAGTTTAGCTTCTTCATATAGATTAAGGGTAGGTGCCCTTTGAAAGGGGCGTCTCACACTATTCTCCTACGTCCCAAGCATCAACCAGACACCCCTTTGCGGAAGTCCAGTAACGGCGCTCCAGTGGGAGAGCACCACAGCTACCGTTATTGCCATCCCAAAAGCATCAGTCAAATTTTGTTGCTGTTATATTCGTCAAGAACATTGTCTCGCGAAAAGCTATCTGGCAGAAGGAATTTACGTTCTTCAGAAAACCAGACAAATGTGATCTCCATACATGGAAAAGGCCAGTATCTCTACCATACATACTTACCGTAAAAAGCTCAGGAGAAGATAGTAAGGACAAGGATATTAGAGCATTTTGGTGGAAAAAGATTCATTATAGAAAACCAGCATGGATTTAGGAATGGAAAATCTTGTCTAACAAATCTGTATGAATTGTATAGCAGAGCCATAAGAAAAAAAAACAAGAAAGATAGGATTGGGCGGACTGCATCTTCTTGGACTATAAGAAAGCCTTTGATACAGTATCACAAGAGAGGCTAGTCTAGAAATCAGAGGAACAGGAAGGGTTGAAAGGCAAAGTGTTCCAGTGGGTCAGGAATTGCCTGGACGACAAAAGACAAAGAATAACCGTAAGGAATATATCAGAATAGGAGAAAGTAACCAGAGGGGTTCTGCAAGGATCAGTACTGGGACCACTACTGTTTCTAATATACGTGAACAACTTGCCAAAACGGGACAGACTATGTCACCACTGTCCTCTCCTGTCCTCATTCACTGTTTGTGGATGAGGACAGGAGAGGACAGTGGTGACACTATGGAAGACAGGAGGACAAGGAGAGATATGATTACAACTTACAAAATCTTCAAGAGAATTAATAAAGCAGATAACGACAGACTATTGGGACTTTTATGAACAAACATTGTGCAATAACTGTCCAAATGAATTTGTCTTTGAATGGCAAGTAAATGGTTTCCAATGTGGGTTTGTATAAATTTATTATGGAGTAAGGAACAAATAAGTTAAACACTTGCCACATAAATTATTGCACTAGATCTATTAAGCATATGTGATGCACTCTTGATAATCCTCTTACATGTGATGTATTAGATATACAGAACTTATACTTAAAAATGAAAAGTCCACACACTATAGGACCTTACTAACGGGTATCTGGCAATTCAGTACATCAACTGGGCTACTGGTACTTGCGTCACGGTTACTTTACCTTCGATGTCGGTTTTATCACAAGAGTTCAGTATATGATTAGTAGTATTATTAACTGTATCGCTGTACCCGCTAGCAAGAGCATCTAGCTTATGACTGAGGGTTATGAACATCAAAATGGTATACAATACCGACAGGTTGGTAGGTAAGACACATAGGCAACAGTTAGGCAACTTTATTCCGAAACGTTTCGCCTACACAGTAGGCTTCTTCAGTCAAATACAGAAAGTAGGCAGGAACAGTAGAGATGTGAAGACGATGTAATCAGTCCATCACCCTTGAAGTCGTAGAATTTGAGGTTGTCAGTCCCTCAGCCTGGAGAAGTTCAGTTCCATAGTTAGGAACTATCAGATAGTTCTTAACTATGGAACTGAACTTCTCCAGGCTGAGAGACTGACAACCTCAAATTCTACGACTTCAAGGGTGATGGACTGATTACATCGTCTTCACATCTCTACTGTTCCTGCCTACTTTCTGTATTCGACTGAAGAAGCCTACTGTGTAGGCGAAACGTTTCGGAATTAAGTTGCCTAACTGTTGCCTACGTGTCTTACCTACCAACTGAGGGTTATGTTGAATCCTACTTAGATTAATAATTTTTATCTTGATTCTACCCTCACTAAGCACTGATAACTTCCTTGGCGTTGATTACCGCAGAGACGTGCCTGTCAACGCTGCTTTACTGCCCATTGTCTCTATCTGCTACCATTTGTGTTCATTATTGAGGAATTTATGCCAGGTCGACTTATGCATCGTGGGTCATGGGTCATTTCTCTACCAAGTCATGGCCTTAAGTGAGGCCATCAGGCCATGGCTTTCAGATCTTCAGCCAACAAGTGTAGGCCTAACTTGGCATGTATTGACATCTGCCGCCAGGTATTATAATGAAGATGAACCCACTACTCTATCCCCTTTGCGAGAAATTGCCTGTATTAGCTTCACTATTACGTTCATACAAGCAATTTGGGTAGAATACAACTAATATAAACATTACTTACCAATTTCTGTTGCATCTATGAGGTAGGTGGGAATTTTAGACACGCTCCGTCACAATGAGAGTATCTCCCTCGATACCCACAACCCTCAAACTTCACTCATATCAGCTGGTATCTAAAATTGTACATTATATTTAAACTTAAACGAAACCAGGGATTCTGATATAATTTGATTGGTTGTGAACTGTATAATTGGGTTTGACTTGCTGAAAGAGGAGGAGGGGGGTCTAATACAGTTAATGGTACAATTATTGACAAAACTTAGGGATACCACTTACCAAATTTTCTCTGGAGGTCCTTGATGCAGCTAGATCATCCACAACACCTGCCTCACTATATAGAACCTAAACTGGTGGTGATGGTTCCTTATCTTCCCCATTCACACGCCAATTCTTGCTGTCCTGCCAATTTCTTGTCTTCATTGCTATTAGCAAGACAGCAATTTCAACTTTCCATTACAATTTAGAGGCCAATTCCTCATTAAACCTCGGAAAACGCCGAAT